AAAACAATCGAAAATTTCCTAAGATGGATAAAGAAATTACATTCCATAGGTAAGTATTAAGTAAATGTAGCATTTATACATTATAAATCAAAATTTGTATTCTTTCAGTTTCCCTAAAGGTGAACTACGAAAAGTGTGGTTAACACTACTTGGAAAAACAGATGAAAATTGGAAATGCAATCTAGATAATGTGTTTGACATGAAAACCTGGTTTAGTCATCCTTCTGCAACTAATAAAGTATATTGTGTATTAGATGCATGTCATATGCTGAAATTGATCAGAAATAATTGGTCAAACTTAGACACGATTAAAAATCCTGATGGAGATCTTGTAAGGTGGGTGTATGTCAAGGAATTGTATAAATTACAAGAAGCAGAGGGATTACATGTTGCGAACAGGGCCGGATTAACTGTGTATGCGCCCCTAGGCAAAACCCTACTGGCGCCCCCCTCCCCCTCTTTTCCTAGTAAGAATACAAAAAAGTTAATTAATTATAATGTGTTGTTTATTAAAAGAACAATACACTAAACTAAAATTCAAACTTAAATATTTTTGTGTAATTTTTTTACAGTAGGATTCTTTTATAGCTACCCTACAATGCAGCCTAATGGATGATATTATAATGCATTGTGAACAATAATTAGGAACCAAGCTAGAAATTTAAATTAAATATTTTTGCGTGATTTTTTACAACAGAATTCTTTTATAACATCACTTTTTACATACCCTCAGCACAGCAGCAAGAGCAACATCACCGACACCGTCGACATCAGCGTCCGTGGACTTAGAGGGAAAATAGGTGTTTAATTTGCGAACATGTTTTAGCTCTTCATCCAATCTATCTTTCTTCACCTTATCTAACTTTCTCCTTTTGGCTCCACTAAGTTTCGTATTCATTTCAATTTTTTAATTTTATGGGTTCTCGTTCGAATTGAATCGTTAAAAAATAAGCTTACAACTTCGTTGCATTTGTATATACGTGATATACCATATACGAAATAACGAGGAGAAATAAAAATCACATTCACACCTTTAGACGTAGATCGAAACAGAAATTAGAGGCAGAATGTAATGAATCATGAATGACTAATCAGACTAATGAGAAAATATCTCCGACTAACTAACTCATATATGGAATTATTAGTTGCCATTTGGTTGTACTTGTACTTTATGAATGGGATATGTTTTGTCTGTTATCTTATGCTTATCTGCAACTGCAAATTATTAACTGCGGTCGGCGCCTCGGCGGTGCTGTATGCTGACGGTGCACGGTGCTGTCGCCACACTACATAATAAGATAGGCTCAACAATTAGTTTTTTGTCTTATGTATAATGTAATTGTAATAGTGATACGTGACTGCTGGTGATAGAAAATTATCGCGTACACGTTCGGTGCGTGGTGTCGGTGCCCGGGCGCGGCGCCCCATTGATCCGTGCGCCCCTAGGCAATTGCCTAGTTTGCCTAGTGGATAATCCGGCCCTGGTTGCGAATAAATTAAAACGTGCCCACATGGAATAGTACAGACAAAAAATGAAAGTAAGCACTATGTTCTATGTTATGTGAAATTTAAATCTATATTAATTATTTTAGGTGCATTTAGCAGCACAAACATTAAGTAGGAGTGTGGCAGATGCCATCGAATATTTGAACACTCGTCATCCGGAAGAGTTTAAAGGGAGCGAAGCCACCGTTGACTTCATTAGAAAAATTAATGATCTTTTCGATTTGTTAAACTCCAGTGGTCCCCGAGCATCAGGGTTTAAGGCTCCCCTAAGATTATGTAATGAAGCTGTTTGGAGACCGTTTATTTTAAATACAGTTCATTACTTATTAAGGTGTACGGATGTTGGAGGCAGACCTTTACATATGACTCCTAAAAAAACGCCTTTCCTGGGGTTTGCAATTACCTCATTTTCCGTTTGTAGAATTTATGATTCCTTGGTAAAAGTAGAAAAACTTAAATACTTTTTAACCTACAAGGTATCACAGGATCACTTAGAAATATTTTTTTGCTCAATAAGGCAAGTATTAATCCTGGAAAGTAATACTTCATGTTTAATGTGAATCATTTTTCAGAAGTAAAAATGGATGGAACAATAACCCATCTTGCTTACAATTTATGCGAACAATGAGATTATTGCTCCACACCAAAATTGACCAGGGATCCGGGAATTGTAAAGTATTAGACGCCACCACTGTTCTTAGCGTACCAAGCACTGCCACACATTTGGAACAATCATTAGATGTACCTATCATTATACCGAAAATATAATTATGCTCTTGAGCCAAAAGAACAAATACTCGATCATGATTATGTGTGCAGTGAAACAATTGAATTAAGTGAAATCTTATCAAATGTTGTCACTTATATAAGTGGATATGTAATTAAGATGTTACAAAGGCGACATAAATGTGAAGAATGTGTGCTGGCATGTGAATCGCAGGAAGACATTAGAGAAGGTTCCTATTCTCTAATTTCCTTTAAAAACAGAGGTATACCTAGTTAGATTGTTGAAAAGTCCTTATTTAACTAATATTTCTTTAAATTGCAGGAGGCTTATATGTACCATCAATTGCAGTGGTGAAAATTTGCACAAAAGTAGAGGTGGCAATTAGAAATATCATGCATTCAACTGGAAACAAAATTCCAAATGAAAAAGGTTTCATGGAATATTTTGTCACCGCCATTGCACAAAAATTTTACCAAGAACTGTACACGTTATTTCCTAGTTTGCATGAGCATTTTTTAGAATTTAATATTTGTGACGAGAATCACGGATTTTTGCTTATCAAAAATATTATTTTTTCATATTGTAGAATAAGGTTTTTTAATTTGGCGAAAAAGTACACAGAAAAAATACAAGCGAACGTATGACGTTGTTTGTGGTCTTGACGCTTCAGTTCTTGGACTAATTATTAGCATTGTAGGTAGTTTCACAACTAGGGAATGTATCGATGCATTGTGATATAGGCAACACAATATACTTGTTCAACATGTTAGGAAACGCACAGGAACTTTTTGAAAGCACATTGTATGCAGTTTTTAACAAGCCCCCGTAGCATATACTTAGAAGATGGCGACATTCATAATCTGACTATTGCGCATGTTGACACGCAATCTCCCCACATCTATATCTCTGTTAACACCTTTATTCATATTTCAAATTAGGGTTATGTAATTATTTGTAAATTCGTTGTTGAGCCCACCGCTCCTATACTAGATATAAATACAACTTTATTTGTTACGGTCAACTTGAGGAACTCTAGCCGATTTTCTTCTGTGAGGTATGTATGATAACGCTGCGGCAGTATGCACTTGAATGTCTCCTTTTCAACCATAATTCGATCTCCAAACTTGGTGCCGATCACACCGATATCAGTAATTGGGTATCGTATTTATTTCCGATTTCCAGATCTTTTGCATTTATGAATGGCTTACAATAGGTAGATGAGTTCAAGGAGGCGAAATCAAATTCTTCCATTATTATGAGCAGTAAATATCTGTAACAAATAAATAAGTGAAAAAATGAATAATCTAACTGCTACTTAACAAAATTAGTCATTAAAATCGTACTCACCAAATAACGCCGCAAACTAGTTCGCTCGAAGCACTGGCTGAGACGTTAACTGCACTCGGATTTTATTTCAATCTTTATCTAATCATAGCGGAAGCAACGTCCTGTCAGTGTTTCTAGAAATTTCTGAGCGGAAGCAGCATCGTGTCTCTTATCTACATCGAAATGTATTTAAGCTGACGCATTTCAATTAAGTCATTGCATTTGTATGTGCATGTGAGCAGATTGTCTCAACTGCTACTACTTCAAAGCAGAAATCCTCTTTTAAGCAGCGAATATCTGGTAAGAGTGTTTTATCTTAAAAGGCCTTGTGACCATAGCGAATCCTCATATAAATATGTTGATGCTTCTTCTCAATTTCAATGTTATTTAATACAATTATTTCAGCACGTTTTAAAAAAAAAATCATAATGGAAGATATCGATGAAGCTTTTGTTGATACTGTGTTTGCCAGTTTACCAGTTATTGATGGTCATCGTCAAACTCTCCGCATTTCTCAAGAAGAAGAAATTTTGCTGTCAGCAGGTCTAGTGCAATTCCAGTTTGTAAATACTACAGAAGGCGTTTCCAAATTAATCTATCACCATCAACCTAGGAGTATTGAAGACAATCAGCGCAATTGTAACATTAAACCAATTTAAATTACGATCATTTCAACATGAAAATTTATTCGGGTACATCCACTTACCTGAAAGTGTTTTAAAGTTTTTAAAACAATTATGGCAAGCAAGAACACTAAAAATTATCTGTGCAACCGAAATTTATGAAACGTTATCTAACAATCGTTTAGTTAATCGAATTGAACTGGATAAACAAAGTCTACGTATGTATCCTCAACTAGAATTGGAAAGTTTGCCGTATCATAGATTTTATAGACATGTAAATGTAGATCCTACAAAAATTGATTTGTTACAATACCAAACTTACCTTGATAGCTGTAGTTAAAATGGGTGTAATAAATAATATTCAAAGATTAAGTTTCAATGATTATTTAGAATGTTTAAGGAGCGGGATTACTAAAAGTGTCAGATTCCGACCGTATTTCAAAGAGATTGTGAGCTGCGTAATCGAATACGATGTACAAAACATTGGAATCAGCCATGGCAGCGCACCCACATCGATGGCCCAGCGCCGTTAATGATTTATTGTAGAGATTGTATTATGGCGGAGCGTACACAAAAAACTTTGTAGCTTCATAATTTCTAGCATTCCCCCCATTCTAACAATACTTGAACTACTAAACGTTCATATCTCAAAGCCTCGCTTAGCTCCAGATGGTTAAAGCGGCAGATTCGTAATTCACGTATCGACGGTTCAAATCCTCGACGCAGCCTTTTTTTCAGACAAATATTTCACCAGCTATGACGCGTTTCCTGATCCAGAAACACCGGAAGCAAAACACACAAAATGTGACGTCACAAAATGGCCGACTCACGCGCTCCCATTGGCTCACACGTGACCACGTGACCGAAATACTCGATTCTCATTGGCGTGACGTCACTTCCTGATCTAGAAGTCTCTTTGCTCATCTACTCCCGATAAATTAAGACTCAAGATATATTTGAATTAACTTTATTAAAAAATAAATCTTGCAAATTAATAAATATATACACTTTTAAAAACTAGACATTTATTAACAGGAAGACCAATTTTTTATCAATGGAAAATTCTATATCAGAGACACTAGGGATAGTATTTCAATCAAGATGCATTGTACTAATAGGTATGTCATCAAATAAATAAGTATTGATTTTGTAATGTAGATTGTGGGTTTTTCAATTTAAATGTGATACAAAAAGTTTTATGAATTACTTTTGTCTATATTTAGTACCACTGAAATCATATCTAAATTAATTTGAGTTGTTCATTCATATTTCAGTTAAACCTATTCAACAGTTCATGTTCATGCAAGCATATATTCACATAGGATGTTTTCCCATCATATAAGTTTAACTGCAAAATGAAAGACTGATGCTAAACTTTTAAATAACTAACTGAAGGAATATTGTAAAATGCAACTTTATTGATTTGGCGCAATAAAAATGTCTTCCTAAAAATTAGAAAGCATAATGAATATGGATACAAATTTGTAGTGTAAAAATAAGAGGTGTTTGAAATCACAGATTAGGTATAATTCAAATGTAATATGTAATAAAATTAAAATTCATACAACAAAAAAACTGACCAAACATTTTACACTGTACTTAACCAAGTACGATATCTTTCAATTATTTTATAATATCTATTTATAGTTTTTGTGAACAGTTTCCAACATGACAAATATTCAAACATTTCGTACCAAGTTAAACACAATGAGCAATAGACAGGTATATAAATGTTATACGCATTATCACAATGAGCAAGTTAGACAGATATGTCAAATACAACATACAGAACATTTACAGATTCAATATAAAATTCAATAGAAACATGAAGGCATATAATAAAGAAGAATTACTTAAACAGTGTTAAGCTGTAAGCAATGATATGTAGGAAGGATTACAAAATCAGTCATGGTGATTTGACACACTGTTCGTTAGAGGTGAAGCATGTTTCAAGGCATGTGCCACACTGCCATTTGCAATGGAATTTGAAATACCAGGAACAGTTTTGGATGTCAATCGAGGCACTAATGTCAACGCCAACAATGCTAAGATATGAAGGCACAGGTACATATGTCTGAAACAAACAGTTTTTTATTATCTTGTTCATCTTTCAACTGAGCAATGCACAATGTCAATTTCTTTACTCGTGCACAAAACCAAATTTTAAACTTTCCACTAGGTTTACTATGGCTAAAAGAAACACCTGTAAATTTTCCCATGAAATCACAATAGGTAAATACTAACGTTAGAATGTACTGTACATCAAGAAGATTTTTTTACAACATTGCTACATGTTGGAAATCCATGTTTGCATGTGACATTTATTCATTATTTAATGCTTTGTTGTTTGCTTGTCTAATTATCAGTTTTTGTTTGACAATTTTATTCTTACATTATATTGATTGAGGAAAAGACATGGATGGTTTCAAGTGGGAGGGGTAACGATTTTTATAGACAGACCATGCTTGTATTCGTTAATTCATTTCCATGCACTTCAGAAAAGGGGAACGAAATAATGAATGTCATATGTAATAGAACCTAAAAATAGAAACATGTCATGGGAAATATCAATAATTGGACAAGGAAACAGTAAAAGGAGATGAATAAACGCCATTATGTTCCGCACATGCGCAAATTTATTTCATAGTATGTCTAAATTCACTTCTAGAAGTGTCTCAGAAACGGAAACTTATTTGATATTATACTCAGTGTCTGCCAAACTGGGGGGTGCAAGGCTCTGTTAAGGGGGTGCAGATCCCCGATGTGTTTGAGGCAAATATTTACTTTTAAAATACGTACATTAGGAATTTTTCTGAAAAATTGCATCTGAACGATTCTTACACACAAATAGGAAGGTATCTACAATTCAGTAAATTCCCCTTTCTATTCTGAGGAAAGCACCAAGATTGCACAATGTTGCCAAATGATTTCATCCAGATTTATGATGGTGCTATAAAAGAAGACATCTCGAATGAACTATAAATGACCTCAAAAGCCATGGATGTTATGATATCCGACTTGAATGAAAAGCATAATATTTTATGGGTCATAACAATTTTTTTAGCACGGCCAGAAAGTTGAGTAAAATCACTAAGGTTTTTGGTATCTTTGAAAATAAATGGGCGCCAAAGCATTGTCAAAAATTACATTTTTCGGTTTTTTGGCCATAATTTCGCTATTGGTAGACCTAGAAGAAACTTTGAGAGGGAAAATTAATCACCATAAAATTCTCCATAACTTTTCCCATTTACCTAAGCGGATTTGTATCTCTTACTGTTTCCAGGGCCCCATAGTAAAAATCTATTTTTTAATCGTGATAGAGGGACGTGAGCAATTTTAGTTTTAAGAAAGGGGGCGCCATGGAAATAAGTTTGGGAACCACTTCTCTACGGTCATGCCTATTACATAAATTAAAAACACAGCCTTCTAGCGCAGAGATCTTAACCCCACGAACGGACATAATTCGCACAAGTATAAGATATATTTTTCAAGAGTTTCAACAGTATTCCTATTGGAGATGACTTTAAACACTTTTAACACAATAAATATCAAAACCATTTTAAGAAAACCCTGAAACTTAAAAAATGATTACAAATGCTCGCCAGAAGAAATAGAATGGCGAACGTATATTCACGTTCATTTTTATACTTACAGGTATAATCTAATGCTGGGCCAGAATTCCAATACAACAAAAGTGAACGTAATGTATGCCATAGCCAAACGTGTCACTAAGAAGGTAATTACGTCATAAATAAATTTACTCTCAGTACTGTACAAAAAATAGTGTCTTAAATTTCGTCTCATCTGAAAATATAAAATTAGTTTCAAAAATGGTAACATCACAAGACTAACTTACGGTTCTTGCAGCAAGTGTAAATAGTGCTCCACCTGCGAAAGTCAGGTAATAACCAGGATAAAATCCATGCCAAATGGCGGATAAAGCGTAAGTTAGGACTGTAGCATTCTTTACTCTTTCATACACAATAATACGTAACCAACGATTGGTCCCAATATTCCAGGCTTCTATACTTTCTCTTAAGCTGGTACTGAACTGAAATGAAAGCAGAGCTGTTGAAACATAAGTAGCCAAAATGTCATTTTGTCAAATTTTAGTCCTTATGCACAATCGGAAGATATCAACTGATCTAAACCAAATTAAAACACAATGTTTTTAGATCTGAAAATGTCACAAACCATTACATTATAAATCAAATCCGGTGCCAAGTAAACTCAATCCATCTAGATGGCGCCAGGTTGATCAGTGTACTTCAAGGTTAATAGAGAAAGTAGGTTGCCTCGTAACTTTCAGCCAATAAACGTTCAGTATTAAAATACGCGAATGACGTCACCCAGCATCCCATTTTGTCCACATCATAAAAATTAATTATTAACGCAACAACAACAGAGCAAGTTCAAAAAATGCAAAGTGGATCGAAATGGTACTTCACATGGATGTGCTGAAATCTTCCTGCATTGCATAGAAAGAAACATACTAGCGAAATATTAAACACACTTTATTCAAAATAGCTTACATTTCATCTTCACAGTCTTCGACCGGGAAATGCAAACTGCACAGTTCGGGGTTCAGGTGTCCCTTTCCACTGCACTTTATAACCCATTCATTTTGTAATACAGGAATTACCTTTTGGAAAAGCAAAAAACTGCCATTTGCTTTCGATTTGTTGGAGCTGCTGTTGCATATAAAAACGTCACAAAGATTTCCATCCGCATCTAATCCCTTATATTGATACTTAAGTATCCAACAGTAAGTATTCAATCGAATTATAATAAGTATTCGTAATAGTCTTCAGCACTGTCTGACAATTACATAAGTACTTATACAGTTCAAATATAACTGTCAAAGTCAACGAAAATTTAAACACCAATCAAATGCGACCTCCGGATTCTCGATGACGCGTCTCTATAAAGTTACGAGGCAACCTACTCTCTCTACTAACCTTGAGTGTACTTCAAATTAATGTAATTTGATTAATTTAGGTTATGTTATGCACATAGTGTGGTTAATTAAATTCATAATTCAGTTATAGTATACAAGTTTTTTGCAGGGCGCCATACTGCCCGTACACCAGCAGTTATGATTTGGGGAGCGATATTTCTTGAGAATAGATGACTGTTGGCGCGGGACAAAAAGTGAGAGTAGGTATGCACCACAGAGTTGTAAATAGTACAGTGGCGACCAAGGTTACTAGAGACAGGAGGTTGCCTCGTAACTTTAGAGAGACGCGTCATCGAGAATCCGGAGGTCCCATTTGATTGGTGTTTAAATTTTTGTTGACTTTGACTTAGTTTTCTAACTCAATGACTTTGACAGTTATATTTGAACTGTGTAAGTACTTAATTGTCAGACAGTGCTGAAGAATCTATTACGTATACTTATTATAATTCGATTGAATACTTACTGTTACTTAAGTAGGTATCAATATAGGGTATTAGATGCCGGATGGAAATCTTTGTGACGTTGTTATATGCAATAGCAGCTCCAACAAATCGAAAGCAAATGGATCGCAGATTCAGTTTTTGGCTTTTCCAAAAGGTAATTCGTGTATTACAAAAAGAATGGGTTGTATAGTGCAATGCAAAGGGGACCCTGAACTCACTCAAAACTATATTCAAATGATTTTTTCTTCCATTTTGTCTATTAAAGATAACATTTCATTAAATCAAAGAATGTCTTTCTTCCGATATGTGCACTATTATAGATATATAACTCTTGGTTAAAAAACATAAATGGATAGGGCACCTCCACAACATACTTCTAACTAAATTAACAAAATAGAAGATTTGTTTAACTGCATACAATATAGAAGCATTTTGATTTTGTTAATTAAAAGATTTCTGTAAGCAAAGAGGAGGGCACGCAAGTTCTTCCACCATTATACAAATTTTCACCTAATCTTGTAAATAAAATAGTTGCAGTTAGTGCGGGAAATTTGAAAGAGGGCGCTATCTGTGACATCTGCTTATCTTAAAGATCCTGATGCATTTCAATACAGTAGGCCTTAAAGTAACACGTATCGCACACGAAAATGAAGTTTTTTATTCATGTAAAAGCAAAAAGTACTTAACAACATATTATTATTTCAATAATTTATTGATATTCCACAAGATAACATTTTTAATTAATGACACTTTGCAAACACATGCGTCTTACTGTGTACAGCAATAAACTCTTTGAAATTTTTAATTTCATGCCATCGCTTAGTATTCTCTCCAACTTCTTGAAAATAATTTTCTAGTTTTAGAGCAATCTTGAAATGTTGCTTAGCTAGTTCATGCTTGTTAAACACACGATGCAAAAAATGAAGATCATAAACATCCTCCAAGTTTTTAATTTCATAATGCACCTTCATCTCCTCGGTTGTTAATAAAACACAGTTCCATGGCGCCCATTCTTGATCGATGAACCACCTACATAAACGCAAGTTGTATATGTCTGTCACTTCCGTGAGTGCTGAATGGCCATGCCAAATTTTAACCACAATATAGTGAATATCCTTGGGTTGCAAGATAAACGCAATAGACGATTCACTAAGTTTCAGTTTTTCTTCGTGGCGTATTAAACGTAATATGAAACGATACGGGGCCACATCCACCCACGGTTCCATTACACGATCATCCCAGGTACAGGTTAAACAAACTTGGAATTTCTCTAACTGAGAATTTGCAGGGAATTCTGAATGACACTTTAATTTTCCGCATCTGTTGCAACAATATAGATTGGAGTGCATAATTTTCTCCTTAATTCGGAGCATCCGCTTACATACTCCATTATTACATTCTGGAGTTTTAATGTGTTTGATAAATAATCCTTTGATGCGTTTCATAAGTATATCCAAGTGCTTTCTATTAATACCTCTTACCATCAATTCACAAGCTCGGTCAATTAACTCCACCAATTCATTGGATAAATAGCAATTATGGTCACATAACAATAATTTCAAGTTCAGTAAGGCTTGAATTTTCTCCTCTACTCCTACATCAATATCATTTAACGATAAGAAAATGTTGTAGTATTCATTTCCCTGTTGCGTCTCTAAGGTATCCATTTGAATATTGAAGTCTATGGCTTTATTTGTCCAATCTTTGTAATGTTTATTCCACTCTATCGGATTTCCAATGGTCTTAAAAAAATCGTGTTCTTTCTTAATTTTCATTTCCATTTTAATTTGATGTCTGTGAGCTTCAATTGCCCTTAACATTTGTATTTCCTTATCGAGCAACATAAAAAACGATGAAATTTTGGCAGGTCCTGAATAGCTATAACAAATGCGTTTAATTTCTGATTTTTTCCATCGATCAACCATAGCGTATAACATAATAAAATCTTCTTTAGTTCTAGGAAAAACCTTTCCAACAAGTTCTTGTGCCTTCCTATCTTCATCAGCTTGTTTATAAAAATCGTTCAACTCTTCCTCTAGTCGAATGCGCTTCTTATATTCGGCACATAGCTCTTTTAGGGCTTTTCTGATCTTCCAAGCTCGAAAATACCTTGAGAAAATGAAAAAATAACCAGCAATCGTATATCTTATGTTTAAAAATATTACATCCAAGATAAAAAGCCAACAGCCATACAAAAATACCAAATGAATATTTCACATACCTACTTATCATAATTTGTTTTTGTATTATAGCATAGCATAGTAGTACCTACTGAATCAAAAATAGAATTGATAATGATTTTGAAAGACACGCAATAAAAATTGACCTCTACCATTTGTGTTTCTAATAATATCACCTATATTTGTCCTATACTCTAAGGTATATCAATTTTATAATAAAATAAACAAACAAATCTTAAACAAGACACTGTGTATATAAAAATTCACCAACCTTTGAATGGTACGCACTTTCCTTTCAACATCTCTTCTTTTTTCCCATTCTTCGGCTGTTTCGTAAGGTCCAGCTACTAAAATTCTATCTGTAATTGACGGAATCCACAAGTCTTCTTTTGCCATTTGAGTTGCTTGTGCATAATTAGTGTCTAAAAGACGATTTCGCAAAAAATAAGTTTGCGTATCTCTATGACTTTTCTGCGTATGATGAACTTTTGGTTTAGGAGGCCCTGTCTGAGAGTATCCATGATGGTATTCAACTCCGCTATCTTTATTCACATACCCTCCAATAAACGGTTTTTCAATGCATTGGTTCATCATTTCAACAACAATATCACGCCAACCATCCTCTGCGTCGGAATCGAGCATGTGTACTGTAATAACATCGGGAACTGTTGCAAATTCTTTGTAAGCATTTGTAGCAGAAATTGTAAAGTCGGGATTTTTCGAATAAAGATACAACTCTAACATATTAAAATCGCCAACGTTAAATTCGTTAAGTACCTTATCATCGCTGACAAGTGAGCGGCCTTCTTTAATTAACATGTTATCTGCGGTAGTACCAAACACATCTTCCAAAATGTCTTTAATTTCAGATATTTTTATTTTTGACGAATATGTTTGTGTGAAAACTGTGCCGTCGTTTGTTGTAAATTTTACTGTGATGCTACGACCTTTGTCATTTAAACTGCTTAATGCCAACTTTTCAAAAGGATCTACTGCCGGTGGTGAACTACTCACATCACTTTGTGGATCCATCTTACGCCACAACTGTAAGCGTTGACATTGACAGCAAATGAATAGAATCTTTACATTATAAAAACGTCATATTGATTGTCCCAATTCAGCCTGGTACAGACAGTTACAGGAACATACCTATACTTTTCATTGATTTGCCCCAGATAAATACCCCGATTATATAAGCTGCATCTTGCAGGAAGTGCAAAATGAAGGAGGAAACTAAAGGATAAAATTTTGTAAATAATAGTAATAATAATTTAAAAAATTGTATTTAAATCGTGCAAACCTCTGCAACTGCCGCCGTGCAACTTGCATGTACAGTTTAATTTTAGTCGCATTTAAGTTCAATTCTTTCATACATTATTATAGTACCTCCACCGTAGCTTACACCAAAGTTTGCAATTCTAAAAACCTTGCGCTTGATAAACCAAGAAATTTTAAACACTCTTCACAAAGTGTTCACTTTAAATGGCGTAAGCTTTGGAATTTACGATAACAGACCCAAATACATTTTTAAGAGCATTGAATTTTTGACAATTTTCATCTAGCCACAGCTCCATAGGGTCAATTGGATTTGGAGACACATTTCTTTAAAAATATAAAAATATTCAGTTAAGTCAGTTTGCTTTACACAATGGTTTTCAGAGAGGTATTTGAAGGAAATGTAATTAGTTTCAGTTTGAGGCCAGTGTCTACAAAATACGTTGCACAAACGCAAAAAAAAGAGAAAACAAATTTTTTCTAAAAACTGTTCGACATCCAAATTACTCAGGTATTTTTCCACCTTTATCTACTTCTGTTGCTGGCGGTTAGCACAGAACGGGGAGGGATTGCTTCAGTTGCTGGCGATTTTATGAATGACAAGATCAAGTAATGTAGTCTGGCCACTGCGAACGTTCTCACCAGAATTAGGTACAGTATAAACGACTCGCCTTTCTAGGAATTGTGTTCAGCAAGTGAAGAAAACGCAGAATAGAATGAAGATTTGTAGATGATCATGAAGAATAATGCAAAAAAATTGCCGTTAAGATATACAGGATTATGTATTTAAAAAATACCAACTTTGGGTCAAATCTCCGAAACAGTGGTAAATTTTACTTCTCTGCCTCCTTTCCACTTCTCTGCCTCTTTTGATTTCTATGCCTGTGTTGACTAGCCATTTATATACAAGAATTTATGTCTTACTAACCTATCATAGCACATTTTATATCTGTGATACGCGGGCATTAAAGCATCACCATAGGAATTCATTTATACTTAATGACAAAACAAACAAATATTTGCAGGTCATTGAAAATTAGAAACGTCAATTATTAATTGTCAATACCAACTAAATCACAAGATTGGCCTTATTTCGTATAGTTTCTGGAACTTCTTGCTCATTCACAATGAATTGAATTATTTAAAATTACGTTTGACGTTTGGATGGTTTCAATCACATTAACAAATTCGAACCATGCATACTCGATCAAACATAATGAATTATTATTGTAAACGAATTTTGACGAAGAAAACTATTTGTAAAACATAAAATTCTGTATGTACCACGGGCATAAACTGATGTTTATACTCTCGGGCGACTAAAAAGCTCTCGGGTCATGGGCCCTCGAGCTTTTTAACTCGTCGCCCTCGAGAATATAAACATCACTATTATGCCCTTAATACATAAATAACGATTACAGCATACTAATAAAGCGAAAACTCACTTCTCGTCCTTGGTAAAGAATATACTATTCTTTTTCCTTCAGTGAAGTTGCCTTTGAATTGATTACATACAAATTTTTCTTTGGTACGTCATTAGGTACTTTTACTGAACTACCTGCTTAAGGGATTTATTGTTTTGGCTGTCACCATTTATCTTTGGAGTGATTTCTCCTTCTCTTTGATGTCTGCGACTGTGGCTCCATTGAAGCGTTTTTACGGATTTGTATTTGCATATAAACAATACGAGGTATGTTACATTATTACGCAGCATTTTTCGCATTACGTATGTTTTTTGGGGTTTTCCTTCCCACAACTCAACTTCTTCTCGTAAGTTCTTATCGTTCTTTGTTTTGGATTACCTTTTACGTTGTATCTACCTGGATATCACTATTTATTACCTACGCAGTACGTGAATGATATAGCATTTTTACCTGGACTCGAATACATCTTAGTTTATTTTGTGCCCTTGAAGATTCATATCTGTTAATTTGATTACATTGTATCGTTCGAATTAGTAAATTAGTTTTACGCTTGTAGACAGATATATGGATAATACGTAGTCGATCAAAATTTTGCAAGTGTAAAGTGATTCGAATTATGGTTTCTTATTGAGTATTAATTGCGGTTTAGTATACGATTAACCTGATCAGTGTCAGACATTAGAATTGCTTATGCAATATTTTATGTGCCGCGCCATTCACCACCTATGTTTCTTGTTTGTTGTGTTATTGTCTGTTACACATTAGACTGAACGTGCCCTTTTAAGCTTTAAGACCTTAAGCGTGTGATATGAATACTTTCTCCGACTACGTGTTAATCTCCTTTTTACTAAAAATTTATTTAAGGTTAAATATTGACATTGCAGATCTATATAGTGCTATTTATTAAAAAGTAGACACAGGGATTTATGTATAACTCTCGCCAGGAAAGATTGCCGGTCACAGCACACCTTGTGTCAATTTACAATCTATGTTTTTTTAAGATGCGAGCGACTTCTGGAATAGGATCGTTCCAATGTTGAACGTAAATAATTTTCGTTCAACATTGGCACGATCCTATCCCGGAAGTAGCTCTGAACTTTCGAAAAACACAGATTGTAGACTGGGATCAGGTCTTCTGTGATCGGCAATCTTTCCTGGCGAGAGGTTTATATAGTTTTTTCCTACATATAAATCCTTGTGTCTACTTCTTAATAAATATCACTGTATATTACAGTGTACTATTGGTAATATTTTTTATATCATTTATTAAATTACCCTCCATTGTGACGTCACTTATTGTTTCTGTTCTATCCCTGTCAACTATTTTACTTTTTACTACTTTTCTTCTGTACTTCGTTTTGGTACAAAAACCCCAATATTCACCTCGACCCACCTCTACTTTGTCTGAGCTTATCGTGTGCTTATTTTAATGCAGTTTTGTTACGTTTGCTCAAAGTGAACGTAGCACGGTGTGTGATCCTAACATTTATATTGCACGATGGCAAATAATTTCTTTTGTTTCCTTGCCTACTTTTTCTAATAGAGCTTTAATCTTATAACAAGAACGTTTAGGTTTGCAAATTTTGAAATTTTTCCCAAAGCGAAATTCCTTTTTTTGTCGGAGTATATTTCCCTGGTGAATATTGGTTTTGGGTAACAGTTGGAAAACAAACTAGTCAACTGTAGTATCATGAACTGGTGGATATTTTTGCGCGTTATTTATCAATGTCTTTATCATTTTAATTGCCACCAACAGTCTGTCCGGAATCCGAGTTGAGGCTCAGTTTACACCTAACACGAATACACAGTAATACACTAAGTACACCAAAATAAAAAACATACATTATATAATCGAACATTTTTCTAGCATACCCTTTTCATCAGTCACTTCGGGCAATTATGTAATAAATGCAACTTAGCATGGTGGCATATTCTAGAATGTTCTAAAGAACCGATATTGCAATAAAAACCACAATATACTTAGAGCAAAATAAATGAATGTGACTGATTATAGTCGAGGAAAAAATATAAAGCCGATCTGATCTACTACAAAAGCTACATAGGGCTTATAGTACACTTTAAATACGCAAAAGTGTACCCAGATGAACAGTTATCAAAAATACCCAGTTTACTCTTGGCCCTTTTTCTAGACATCAGATAGGGTTGGATTTCAGGTGAACCTTAGAAGCATGCATATCACTCACTAATGCCCAGGCGCATGTATTGAGCAAATCGAAAGAAGAAATTGAAGAAAGAAGACCTACTTTCATTGATAACTCTTCTAAAGTGGCCCATGGTTGTAATTGCAATAATTCTTTAAAATTTTCATTTTATATAGGTATTTTCAAATTTTGAATGTAATTACCATGACAAATGCCTTCATAATGTACCACACAATGATATTACATAAATATGCTTAGGTACCCCAAATTTACACATTTACATTCATTAAAAAATTCAATAAAATAAGTACTATTCTATAAAGTTACTTACCTCAAATTTAAGAATATATATGTTAGAGAACCCATCCCAATTGGAACTACCATCTTCATTAAATCCACTAAATCCGATACCTGCATTATTACAAATTGCATCTGCAAATATCCACGCAAAATAATACTTAAATCTAACAAGAAGCATAGCAATTGTTAAATGATAAAACTTATACGCCAAAGTCGTGTTTTCTACAAAGTCATCATCTTTGACTGCTTGAACAGAAAACACAGGAATAAATTTCACAAACATGGCTGCAAATATTATCGAGAGCACCACTTTCTTAAATACGACTATACAAGGTGAGGGTTCCAATACCACTGTCCTGCTGTTTGAATTATTATCCAAGTTATTCTGAAAACAAGAACACAATATATAGAATCAACACATCAACCAACGCACTTACATTTGGCGGTTTTTGTAGGAGATGTTTGCCATCAATGAAGTCCATATAATCATTATAAAACAGAACAGGTCCGGCCATCAATGCTGGAAATGCCAGCGCATAACTGAAGTATTCTAATGGTGAGGGCATTTTGGAAACAGCATACAACTTTCGATTTTTAGATAGTTCCGTGTCTAGCCTTGCCAAGCCATCGTGAATATTAAAAGCCAAACTTGTTACTTTTTGTGTTATTACCATTAAGGGCCCTAAAACACAATTGATCAATTCAATTGAGTAGTAATGGTTACGTTTTTTACATTGTTAAAAAGTGTAAACCTCTCGCCAGTAAAGATTGTCAGTCACAGAACACCTGATCCCGGTTTACAATCTATTAGACCGGGCTGAAAGTACGTTGAAAACTAATAATAAAATCACTCGTCTGCCAGTCGTAAGTGGCAGCATTAACTTGGGGCGGCGCTAAATAGGTGACTTCTACAACTAAATTACCAAACTATAAGGGTCACGGAAAATATTTGTATCAAGAAATCCCATTTTTTCCAAAGTTTTCAAATATGCAATGGCAGACGATTTCAAGTGCAGCGTTGGTAGCGAAAGACGCCCTCCAATGTAGGGAAAAACACCCCTGAACTAAACCATGAGGACCGTATAAAAATTATACATAAAAAATTCCTCTTTTTGTCACTACTTTAAAATATATCCTGGCAGACGATATTAAGTGTAGCTTTAATAGTGGCAGACGTCTTAGAAGTTAAAAAATTTAGGTATAGTAAATCCCAGCGAGTGCGAGCGTGTGAGAGATAAGCGCGCGAGAGCATATCCAACAGAGATAGCGATAGGATACTGACTACTGAGATCTTTCAAACCATTTGATTCTAAACTTCTGATTCACATAGTTCCATCCACTTCAATGAAACGGATTGTAGAAACTCAGACATTTTTCGGTGGCATTCGCCCAAATTGCGTTGAACTAAACCATGAGGACCATACACAAGTCATGCATCCGGTAAATGCGTGGGAACCCGGTAACGCGTTACCCTGCGCGTTACACATCAACACCCAAATTCACGAACATCTCTCGAAGATTTATGAATTTCTGCGTGTTATTGGAAAAGAGACCTACTTCCATCTATACCTTGATGGTAGCGTCAATTTTACATTTCCCAAAGCAATAACAGCAATATCCATATCGGAAGCGCTAATAATGACTTTGCTACTTGTTAGTAGTTTATCAAGATGGTAAATTATTCGAGAATCTGCCTCTTAGTGGCTGCAGCACAATTCAGTTTTTACCACATCATCTTCCCTTGTCTCAAATTTATAGCACTTATCCTCATATGTGGCAAACACAATTTTCCTTCCAAGTAAAGCACAACAGGTCTTTTTTGCCTAGGAACGGTATAAGTAATCTATATGAGAGGCTTTGAGCTATCATTGCGAAGTGGTTTTATGAAATTTGCAGGCTGCTTCTGAGTGGAAACAGAAATTGAGTACGATTGTAATCTTTCCTTATTTTGATCCCAACGATCATGTTCTGCGTCCTTCATGGAAGGGGTAACTATCTGTCAAAAGTAAGATGTACTTCTCTCGCTGACACAGCACAAATCTTGCCGAGGATGTGTTCAGAAAATCGCTCAAAGGTTTACCGGAGATCTTTTAAAAGATGCAAAAAAAATAATCCAT